AATATTATATGTATACAAGTATTCTTATATGTACATATGTATTTCTCTCGCTCTCTCACTCTTTTTCTCTCTGCCCGTTTCGTTCTGTATTTCTATCTCTTGCTCTCTAACTCCTTACTCTTTATCTATATGTCTCTTCTTCCCTCTCTATGTCTATTATTCTCTCCTCGCTCCATAAAAATTTATGTATTCCTTTCCCTCTTAGCTTTTCATTTTCTCTTTATCTCTCAATCTTCCTATATATCTTCTTACTTTGCCTCCATATCTCACTCTCTCTCTTTTTCTCCTCCTCTCTGTCTCCATATCCCCCTCTCTCGCTATTTCTCTCTCTATCTCACTCTCTTACTTTTCCTCTCTCTCTCTCTCTCTAGCCTAGTTTAGACTCAAGAGTTCCTTCTGCCTTGCCAGCCTATCACGCCCATCGGCACACAATCCTCGCCTTGCAGGGTATTTGGCAAATTAAATACTATACACACACGCACTCACACACACACACACCCACACATACATTAAGGAAGAGAGGCGCACGTGTCACTTTCTCAACTGTTGTTGAAAAATTGGGGGAAAATCCGTCTGTAAGCCAGACAATTTTTGTTTTCTTTCATTTACTTTGGATGAGTCATACGCATTGATTTAGCCATGGACTAGACTCTACTGCGGCTGTTTCTTCTTCTTTCTCTATCTTTTACAGCTGCAGTTTTGGCTCATGAATAATGCAGCGAACGGATCGCATTCAGCTCTTCGTTTCTCTTCTTCATTTTCTTCTCGAAATGGAAATGAAAATGGAAATGAAAATGCAATGCACCTCGTCACGCTCCAAAAAACTCTTTGCTCAAAATTCTCGAAAATTCCCCACCTTAAAGTAAATAAATTCCATTTAACTCATCTACATCTATTTTTTTAAAAATCCCATATCCATGATTCACACCTGATGGAGATAGGCTTATAGCTCTGGAATATCGATGAGTTGTAGCCCATTGATTACATAAGCTTTACTAGAATTTCGTTAACTCTAAGCCAACTCAAACTCTTAACTGATCTTTATTATATAATATGTATGTATCTCACTCTCCCTATATGCATTCCCAACTAGAGATCTCTTAAATGGTGTAAAAAACACTTGTTAATCTTAGGGCTTTCCAGCTAATGCATAACGCACTCTATAATTTCTATGGGCCCTTCATATGTAATCGCTCCATAAAACCTAAATGAACTAAATAACTGTTATATCACAGTAAAATGGGAGTTGGGGGCGAACTCTGTATAGACTCTATACTATAGAGCTATTTTGCTTGGCTGAATCGGTTTTATGATATGTCATACCCATTAGGAAAAGTCTGCGATGGGTATATTAGTTGTGGGCAAATTCAAGGAATGATATGATATATAAATATGTAGAGATGGTTTCAAATAGATGAGCAGGCAAATTGAGGTGTAGAGACGGACTGAGAGAATAGATCAGCCTATGTAATCTACATTGATTCATGATATATGTATGTATATCATATATGTATATTATTATTATCTATGACCCTTCGCAAACCTAAATAAAAGCTTAAAGTAAATGTTTTTGCAGGGTATCTGTAGCTTGAGCAAGTCGCACGCCTCTCAGCTGACAGCAGTGTGTGTGTGTGTGTTTGTTTGTTTGATATTAACGGTTTCTTTGAACTCTTCAACTGTTTGAGGAGAGTTGAGTTCGTTCATTTCGAATGCACATCCCAAGACGTTTGACTCGTTTGACTCGACGCCTTTTACTGCAGCTGAGTTCGCATTGAAATTCAGCTGCGGATACAGATACAGATGCAGATACACAGATTAAGATACAGATGCTGATACAGCTATGACTATGTCAGCTCGGATCAAATCGGATCGAACGGTAAACAAAAAAGAGTCGACTTGACTTTCGCAAAAATTTGCCTAATAATTGAACAAAATTATAGAAATTGCTTCATCTTTTTTTTTTTTTTTTTTTTTGTTTTTTTTGTTGCGATTTTTGGCGCACATTCACAAATTCATAAATTCAACGAAATTCTGATTAGGTAGTGAAAGTCTTTCACGTGCAGTACCGTTAATGGCTTATCTTTGTTTTATTTTTCGCTCTCTTTTTGCACATTTTGTTGAATAGATAAAACTCATAAATATAATTAACGAATGGAATTAATTTGGCCAACATATAGGGCCAATACAATGGGCGTGATTAAATGGATCTCTTTATTATATATTTTAGCCATATATATTATAGTTAAGTAACCCGTGAATCTATTAAGCAATAGATACTTTATTCGTAGCAAAATTTGGTAAAGCCAAAGCTTATAACTGTTTAATATGGCACTATCATTTGTTTGCTTTAGTATATAAATGGCATTTGTATAAATTTTGATATATTTTTGTTTTTATTTAAGATGAGAAAGTTAATGCGCATCAGTTTTCAGCTTTGTAACGGCAATAGTTAGACAGCTCCCTGAATGCATTTACACATTTCCTCATATTATGATGTTTTCTAGACCTTAAAGAAATTACATACAAAATTGCAGGTTTGTAGCTAATGCAGTTTCCGAGTTCCATGAGTAAATTAGAATAATATATGATTCATTTAAAGAATTTTGACTTTACACTTAATCCAACTCATTTTAAGGCATTTAGGGATATCAAAGAAACTTAGTATTAAATTTCTGCTGTTTAGCTTCTATAGTTCTCGAGTCCCCTGGCTACATTTAAATAATAAATAATTCTTTTAGAGCTTAGATTTGGATTTTACGTTGAAAAAAAAAAAAACAACATTAGAATAGGTTAATCTAATGTTGTTTTTTTTTTTTTTTTTTTTTTTCACAGATCAAACGATGCTTATATCGCATTTCTATTGTTATAACAATGGTTTTTATCATTTTTAGCATTTATATGTTCATATGATGATAGCATAGAAAGTTCATATCAAATTTCAGCTGCATAGCCTGAGTTCTATGGGAATATAAATAAGATTAAGTTCATTTTATTTGGCTAGTTTGCAAGAATAAACATGTTGTTTGGTGACTCTTTTCATCAATAAACTATATAAAACAAAATTCAATTCAATAAAAAACTAAAAATTTAATTGAAATCACCCCAACCAAATCATAAAAGCTGTTCACCTGCAGCGTATCAATCGCAAGGCATATGCCTAAATGCAAACGGATGTCTAAATTGCAATAAACGCACACTCACTCATACACGCACACACTCACACAAATAAACACAGAGACAGCATTCTGTTGGATTTGTCGTAAAGAACCAAAAAAGTCTACAACAAACTTGTACGGCCCAAAATGGGGCGTTCAAATTGCGCTCGCTTCCTGAGGCGCAATAGTTTAACGCCGGATGGAAGGCCTTTTAAAGCTGTAGAAAGAGAGAGAGAGTGAGAGTTGGCATCCCTAGACTCTGGTGTCATCTCGTTACAGCATGGATCACTTAGCGACTGCAGAAATATGGCAACGTTGTCGATTTCCGTTGGCTCGAAATTCGAAGATCGTTACAGTTTGAAACCATAAAAGCTCACACACACACACAGGCACACATTTTGCGACATGTACATTTTGGGATAAAACTCAATATACATAAATCAGCAAATGAAAGAGGGAGCGAGAACGCACAATGCTTCGCGTTTGTTTCATTCAAAATGGGCCAAATGTGGCAGCGACGTCGGCAGCGACGCCAGCAGAGACAGCTCAATGTCAATGGCTTTGCTGCGACTGAGCATGTGTGTGTATGTGCGACTGAAAGCGCCAAAAGGCAAAATAAATTATGCAAAGTAAAATTAAAATAAATACACAAACAAAACAAAATATGCCAAAAACGTTGACTTGTTTCTTGTTACTGCTGTTGATTGTTTTTGCTGCTTTAAAAAATAATATTTTTGCAAAGATTGAAGTATATACAGACATACATACATGCATACATGTATGTGTATATGTATGTACATATGTCATACATTCAAATGTACGTTGCTTTCCAATTTGGAAATTTTCTCAACATTTGCAGTTGACTTCGCACTTGGATATTTCAAGCAATATGAAAACACTCAAAATAGGCACACAGCAAAAACAACAGCAGCTTCTACAAGCCCACACACTCACATATATACATACATATGTACCTACATACATACATGTACATACATATGTTTGTAGACTTGTATAGTCTACAGTCTCCAAATTTATTGTCATTGCCTCTGCTATTGTTATGACTGCCTGTATTTTATTTTTAGCTGCAAGCTGCCTAGACTAGAAAGTGAAAAGTGCACAGATAGAAAGCATGAATTACCGTATTTTAAGTCTTCCTTAACTTCTTTGCTGCCGTTTGTCCGTTGTTCGCTTATGCCAACCACACATGAGCATGATTTTTCGTTTTTGTAGTTGCTGCTGTTTCTTTTCTTTTTTTTTTTTTTCGCTGACAGTGGAAGTGGCGCAGCCGCGGCCGCTGCTGTTGAATGATGCTCTCTCAAGGCTGGCTACTGCTGGCGGCAGCATTGGGTGTGCAAATATAGAATAAAAAGGAATAGACGAGCCAACAAGAAAAAAGTTAGCGTTAAGTAAGCCAAGCAAATGGTAATTTCTAGCGCTCATTAGAGGGTCGCACTATACTCAATCAGCCCAAGATGCATTAGAATGTAAGCATGGTCTCTGTGTGTGTGAGCGTATTTGTGTGTTGTGTGTGTTTGTGGCTACCCATTTCAAGCTGCCTAAGCACCGTTGCTGGAGACTATTTGGAATAATAACTGTGCACAGTGCGGGATAGACAAATAGATGCGCTTATTTAGAAATTAACTCTGAATACGAGTACATACATACATATATGTATGTATGTATGTATGTTTGTATTTAAATAATATATATGCATGCATATACATAATCATATGTGTATGTTTATATTTAAATAATATATATGCATGCATATACATAATCATATGTGTATGTGTATATTTAAATAATACATATGTATGTACATATGTATGCAAGTCTTTCTTTTATGTATTTCACTTAACACATATACAAATGTATTTATGTATGTATGTATACATGCATTTATGTGTGCATAAAAACATTTTCTCATACATATGTACATATACACATATTAAGGAACTTCATGTAGCCTATTATAATGCCGTTTCTATTTGACTGCTTAGTGCTGTATGTTTATTTTCTTAGTTTTTTTTTGCAGCCAGTTTCTTCCGTTGTTTGAAAACAAGTTTATCGGATTTTGTGCCGCTTCGACTTCTGTTTTTCTTAACATTTCAAACGTAACTGTCAACAATGGGAGACGAAGATGTTTGCCATTAACGCCAGTGCTGCTCTTGCTGTTGTTGCTGTTGCTGTTGTTGTCGTTGTAGCTGCTGCGTCTGCTGCTGTTGTTCTTCTCGTTGTTACAGGTGCTCGCCCGTCAGCGTCTGCGCGGCAGCTGTTCGCATTTGATTTCTCAACTGTCGGGCAACGGGAACGGGTCTGCCCTCTCGCTCGCTCGCATGCTCGTTAAACGCCAAGTCGTGCTGAAATGTGTTTGTGTGTTAAATATGCTCAATTATTAACATACATACAGATGTACATACTATGTATGTTTGGTGTGCATGTGTGTGTTTGTGCTTTTCTGTTTTTGTTTTTGCCGTTGACTTTGGGATCGCGCATTTATTTTGTTTACCGTTCACCTACATAGCGAGCAGCGGCTATTGTTACAAAAAATAAACT